CTACACTACTATATACTACACTACTATACACTACACTGCTATGCACTACACTATACACTACACTACTATACACTACTATACACTACACTATACACTACACTCTACACTACTATACACTACTATACACTACACTACTATACACTACGCACTACACTACTCTACACTATTATACACTACACTGCTATACACTACACTCTACACTACTATACACTACTATACACTACACTACTATACACTACGCACTACACTACTCTACACTATTATACATTACATTGCTATACACTACACTATACACTACTATACACTATTATACACTGATATACACTACACTACTATACACTACGCACTACACTACTCTACACTACTATACACTACGCACTACACTACTTTACACTACACTATACACTACTATACACAGACTCTAGCTCTCCCTGGGGAACGTCCAGGCGTTCCCAGGCCAGCCGAGCGACATCGTCCCACTGCCAGCAGCGTGTCCTGGGGCTGGCCCCGGGGTCTTTGCCCAGTGGGACTTTCTGCCCGGTAGAGTTCCAGGGGGAGTCTTAGCTTCCAGTTTTGTTGTTTTTTTTTTGCGTGTGCAACACTGCCAACGTAATAAGAGCATCGCCAATGAATTATTTTTGGTAATTTAATCCTAAATAAGCTGGAAAGTCGTTCCGAAAATGATTTTGACCTCGTCCATCTCACCTTATTTAGTCTTCATAATTTTTAAGCAAACTGTTCCGCGAAATAATAGGAACGTAGGGTTACACTAATATTGGTAGGGATGGTCCCACCTTGCACTCTTAGTGGTAGTGCCTTACGCCGATAGTCCATACTGCAAGCCAGCCCTCGCTGCGTTCCCGACAATATCGAGTGAAATTTCATGTATGACATGGACTACCTCTAACATTTATGTTAACTGAAAATGTAATTGTTTACCGTGCTTTTGTGTTGATTTAGTGTTAGCATCGTAATCATTCACCGTATGTGTAATAATCACGTATTTTATGCGACATGTGCTGTGTTCGACTGCAGTATCGATGCTGAATGTGAATATATATGTGTATGTGGGTATATACTGCATATATGTGTGTATGTGCCGACATTGGTAACGGTCATTGCTCGGCTCAGCCTTAAATTAGCAACCTTCTGCGGTGTGTGAACATCAGCACTGGGGAGACAAAGGCTGCCGGGCGCGATGTTGGTCACCTTTCCGCTCACGTACCTTGCCGGGCCTCATAGGTGCTCGCAAACAGCACGTGTCCTACGTCTGTTAAAGGTTATGTTAGAATAGGGGAACTTCGATTGCGTCTGGCCGGTTAGCTCAGCTGGTTAGAGCGTGGTGCTAATAACGCAAAGGTCGCGGGTTCGATCCCCGTACGGGCCACGTGAGAACGCTTTTTAAATAATCAGCACTGGAGAGACAAAGGCGGCTCTGAAAGCCCAGGACCGCCTTAATATCGGGGCTCCCTAACATAACTTGTTTCAACAGTCTGTTAAAGGCGATACAGGTGATCGTTGTCTCTAAACTTGATTTGGAGCTTTCATGACTGCAGGAATTACTCTTTGGTTCTTTTGGTAAAGTCACGTAGAAATAATTATTTTAAATTAATTACTAGCATCCGACGTTTCGATTGCAACACATCGTCTCCATGTTGTGTGCCTCTCTCTCTCTGTGTGTCTCTGTGTTATATCTCTCTGCTTATGTGTGTGTCTCTGTCCTTGTGTCTGTGTTTTGTCTTTCTCTCATCTTTGTCTTTGTTGTATTCGCCCGATCAGGTGGCTCCAGCGGTCGAGCGATCAGTCCGCAATCTCCGAGTCGACAGCTTTGAGCTCGTGGTGTAAATTCCACATTCCTCTGACGGGGGCGAGTCTATCCATAAGACAACCCCAGTTGACTTCCCGACAAAGTGGTTCCTATCCCCGCACTTCGTTGTTGTATCGACCCCGGAGGGATGATCGGTTGAATCAACGCCCAACCAGGATGATTTCAACTCACTGCCTTCCACCTTCAGCGGAGCCACCCCTGGCTCCCAGCTTGTTCCATGAATCGTGAACAACGAATGTAAAAAAAACACACACACACTCAACGCAATTGTCAATAGCGCTGTGTGTGTGTGGCCTTAAAATACATAATATAATATTTCAGTTTCATTTATTTGGTATAGCCCTGTGAGCCATTCGGCTCTTGAATCGGATGCAACTGCAACAAACAAAAAACATGAACAATAAAACATCTTAAAGTGACTGCGCAAACAGAAAAATACAGGAAAAAATTGCAAAGTCTTCCAAAAAAAAAGCACCGTACACCAACGCTGTGTAAAAATCCCAGTGGAATGCAAGTCAAACAACAACAACAACCACAAGACAATTTAGATTAAAGCCATCATTGTAACTCCGCACTACAACAAACAAACATGGCCAAACCAAAAAACTTTTCGAAATCACCAAAATAAAGCCATAAGCAATGTAACAGGCAACGTTTCCATGCATCGTGAACAACGAATATAAAAAAATAACACTCAACGCAATCTGTGTGTGTGTGGCCTTCAAATAGCTAATATAACAGGCGACGTTTCAGTCAAAGTCCCTTCTATATGTGTGTAGAACCATAAGTAGCCAACCGTGCTATTCGCGCACAAAAGCAGTTCTAAAGAAAGGAGTTTTCAATCTCGATGATTTTAAAGTGCAGAGCTCCAGTAGCTACCCAATTCTCCCACAGCACATACAACTGATTTACAAGATAAATATATAATAGGTGACGTTTCGGGGCATTGGCCCTTCTTCATCGCAAATACAATAGATGTTTTTTGTTGTTAAGGCCACAGTGTTATTGACGAACAGTGTTGAGTGGTTTGTGTTTGTTTCCCCTTTGTGTTTGTGCGTTACTGTCAACGTAGCATCAGCAGCACCACCACCACCAAATGAAGTACATGCAAAGTGTGTTCACGTTTGTGATATTACTGGTAGGAACCTCCTGGTTACACCGGCCCACAGGGGATTATTGTGTCCGTCGTGCAGGGAGGGGCTGGGTGGGGACGGAGGGGCTGGGTGGGGAGGGGAGGGTGGGGAGGGGCTGGGTGAGGAGGGGCTGGTCACCCCGTAGTGCCCTTATAAAACTCAACGTTTAACCTACTCACGCCGGCTTGTGCCCGCCCTCACAGTCGGCCATATTTGCGGAATACACCACGCCGCCGTTGACCCTGGCCATTGACCGAGCAACCCAACGTTCCTACCAGCTCCCTCCGCAGGAATGTGTTACGTGCAGTAAATGACCGCTGTCTACTGGTTTCTTCCACAGTTTTGGAGTACGAAACATCATCATCATCGTCGTCAATGAATAACAATCATCAAAATTTCCAAAAGAGTCGCACTAAATTCTGAGCAACCATTAATAGTAACTAATCCCAATATTCACGAGTTGGAACATTTAACAAAATTTGTCACGAAAAATTATGAAAATGTAATTCCAAATTTATAATCGTATTATTGTTACAGATTCACTATCAAGATATTGAACCTATAGTCTCCACTTATTAACATAATCATCACCATCGTCAACATTGCTTAAATTCGCATAACTGTTTCATTGACATTAACATAGCTGGATAATTGTGGTTAAAATGTAGTCCTTACGGTATTTTTTTACCACCACAATTACTGTCTTATTCACGTTATAAATTTACAATCATAATCACTTTAATTTACAGTAGACGCAAAAAAGCATAACTGACGTCTTAGAAATGTAGGCATCGTCATCACGTGAGGCTGGTTACCATTCTATTATAGCTAGGCAAATCAGCTGATTACTATTTACATCTAATGATTATCACTATTATTGTCTTAGTAGTGAACACAATAGTCTTTATCATCGTTACCACCATCATCATCCTCATCACCACTGCTACAATTATCAGTAGGCCTAAAGTCAAATAATAGTTTTTGTAACAATCACTATCATGATCACCAATACAATTATCAGTAAACTAAAATAATCAACATTTTTACCATCATTACCACCATCATTAGGATCATCATCACTATCACTATAATAATCATTAGACTAAAATAACACTCAATATAACCATCACCACCATCATCAACAGCACCATCGCTGTTAGCCCACAACCATGGCAAGCACTGGTAGCTCATTACCATCACCAGTTCCTCTCCATGTCACACGTCTCCCTCTGCACCCAGACCCAAACCACAACCACCACCACCAGCACCACCACCACCAGCAGCAGCATCAGCAGCTTAAGCTGTCACTGGAGGCTTCTGCCTTCTCAGACGTCCACGGATCAAGATTCCCCTTCCATCTCACTGCGTCCCTGCAAGCCCTGCAAGCCGCGAGCCTCCTTCCTCCGTGGACCTGTGCTCTACCGTACAACCATCTCACCACCACCACCACCACCCGCCTGCACGGGCAGCAGCAGCAGCATCATCATCATCAGCAGCAGCATCAGCAGCCTGAGCAACAGCACAAGCAGCAGCACAACTTGCAGATGTTCTTGTTGAGCGGGATTACTGCCACGACCACGGCGGCCGCCACCTCAACCGCTCTGCCAATGTTGATGTTCCCACATGAGCACGTGGCCTCGTCTCCAGAGGACAGCTCCAGCAACAGCAGTAACAACAGCAGCAGCAGAGAGAATGGGCTATCGCTGCAGACGAATAGACTGACACTGCAGGCGCCAGCTGCCCTGTCTGCGAGTCCCGTTGCGCTTTTGTCGCACGCACTCAGCTGCACCCTGCTGCCTCGCACGACCTGCAAGGCATGCTTGACGCAGCAGTCAAACCCTCGCCACCACCAGCACCATCACCACGATCAGCGGCGACGTCAACAGCCGCAACCTCGCTTCGACTTTGCCAATCTGGCAGCGGCTGCGACGCGGGCGGACCCAGCTCCTTCACCACCTCTCACTCTTCCACCTCCTCCTCCTCCACATCATCATCATCATCAGCATCCACCTGCGGACGTACAGAAGCTGCAGCCCAGCATGGCGACACCGCCGCTGGGCCCGCCGCTGAGGCCGGGCGGCTGCGGCGGCGGCGAGCGGCGGTGGCTCGGCGGGGCGGCCGCGGGGCCCCTCGCCTCGGCGCCTCCTGCCGCGGGGGCCGCTGGGGGTGGCCGCGCGGCCCCGGTGCCGGGGGGCCCTGCGAGCGCGTTCGGGCTGCTCAGCGCCTCCGTGTGCTGTTCCGCGTCGGTGGCGTCGGCGTCGTCGTTGATGATGGCCCGGTCGGGGTCGGGGTCAACGGCCCACGCGGCGCGCGCCAAGAAGGAGTTCGTGTGCAAGTTCTGCGGCCGGAGGTTCACCAAGTCCTACAACCTGCTCATCCACGAGCGCACGCACACGGACGAGCGCCCCTACGTTTGCGAGGTGTGCCACAAGGCGTTCCGCCGCCAGGACCACCTGAGGGACCACAGGTGAGGGACGCAGCGAGCGAGCCAGCGGGCCCGCCCGCCCGCCAAATCACTTCTCTACTTATCGCGCGCTTATTTATCTGTTCGTTTATTGAGCGCGATTGATCGAGGAGTATCAAGACGATGGAAACATAAGAACAGGCTTTAGCCCATCCTGGCAAGAGAACAGGAGATTCATCTTCTTGGTTCTTTCGGTAAAGTCAAGTAGACTTTACCGAAAGAACCAAGAAGATGAATCCCTGCAGTCACGAAAGCTTTAAATCGAAATAAAATAGGAGATTTTAAGATGTTAAAACACCAAACAGATACCGATCGCATGGCATAAAGTCTGCATCAGCCACACAATTATACATAAGAACAGGCTTTAGCCTGTTTAACGTATGTCATTAACAAAACACGGTATAATTGTGTGGCTGATGCAGACTTGATGCCATGCGATCGGTATCTGTTTGGTGTTTTAACATCTTAACATCTCCTGTTTTATTGCCTAGGATGGGCTAAAGCCTTTTCTTATGTTTTCATCGTCTTGATACGGGCAAAAAAAAGTTCCCATAGGTGTAAATGGTTTAGACGGCATTGGCGTGCAGGAGATGATGGTTCCGGAAATTGTAAGATAGATTTTTTTTTTAAATAGTGCTCTGCATTAAGAATATTAATGGCACAGACACGTACAAACATTTTTTTTTCTCTTTAGTGTATAATACGATTGTGTCAAAGTAATTTGATATCTATCTTGTAGAAGAATATCGGTCGTGTTTGGTTAGTTGACGTTCCCCCTCCCCCGGCACCTCCGATTAGCACGGTTGACTACGTACGGTGCGAAAGAAGTTCAACAAAAGTGCACATACACAATGTGGATCAGCAACAACAAGAAACCAAATGAGGTAATAATGGGTGCGGCTTTCCTCGGGTAAATAATTATTATAATAATTAATACATTTCTAAAATCAAAAACCTCACAAAGCGCTGAACAATGCAACGGGTCGTCTTTAATTGGTGACTATAACAAAGACAGCACGTAAAGAGATCGCGATCAGCTCATTGAAACACTCCTCACAGCCGCCAAGTTAAACATTTTCCTAACAGCCATGTGTGGAACAAATGTGCTCTTATTAAAATTAAACTATAAACTACAGTATTTTCTATATTACCATGTAAGGCTCACTGAGCTGCAGTTTTTTTTATCAGAAGCGACCTGGTCACAAAACGAGAGCTCGACGAAATTGGGTCATTACGTGGCAATTTATAGCAGCCATATACTCTTACACGCACGCTGATTCTCAATGTGCGGGGGAAAACCCGGAGGACCCGGAGAAAAATCCCACGTGACCACGGGGAGAGAGACACCGCAAACTCCAAATAAAAACAATACACAGCAGGTGTCAGGGTTGGGATTGGGATTGAACCCATGACCTCCCCTTTACCAGGCGTGGGAGTTTACATCTCGCCACCGTGGCACCCTCAGCGACACGTGCTGTGTTTTGAAATTGCTGTCCAACAACAACACTCCCGGAGATGTTGCTGAAGCAGTTCATATATTTTGACACGTGACACTTTTTTTTATTCATCGGCTGTGTCGGGTGGAGGAGGGGTTCATGACACAACATTTTTTTTTTACACGACGACCTATTGTTTTAACTACTAAAACTATTCTATTTTTATTTTACCAGGTAAGGCCCACTGAGCTGTACAGCTTCTTTTTTTCGGAAGCGACCTGGCCACAAATTATAGCTCAACGAAGTGGCTCATCACGTGGATATTTATAGCAGCCAAATTCTCTAAACGCAAGTTCTAACCCCCCCCCCCCCCCCAAAAAAAAAAAACGACGAATAATCAGACTCATTGCTCGTGTTTTGAGTTCTCAGCTGGGTAAACAAAATTAACTTGAGCCTTGAGAACGCTTCTCTTGTTGTTGTTGTTGTCGTCGTCGTTGTTGTTGTTGTAGTTGTTGTGCTGACGGCTCCCACTACCCGGCAGGTACATCCACTCCAAGGAGAAGCCCTTCAAGTGCCAGGATTGCGGCAAGGGCTTCTGCCAGTCGCGCACGCTCGCCGTGCACCGAACTCTCCACCTGCAGGTCCGATCCGCCCACCACTCGGATTGATCGATCAGTTCGGCAGACTTCAATTAATAATTGTTTTATATTTTTATATATGTGTGTGTATATGGGATGCGTCCTATAATCCTTCTTGTATTTTTTAAAATTTGTCTGTTTGTTGCCAATTGGGCGCCACCGTAACGAGATGTTAACTACCTCGCCTGGTATACAGGAGGTTCGTGGGTTCGATCACGACTCTGGCGCCTGCTGTATATTAACTACCTCGCCTGGAATACAGGAGGTCGTGGGTTCGATCACGACTCTGGCGCCTGCTGTATATTTAGAGTTTGCATGGTCTCCCCGTGGACGCGTGGATTTTTCTCCGGGTCCTCCGATATTTCCCTTCACATTTAGAATCAACATCACGCGTTTGTCGTGTTTTGCTGCCTTACATTTCCACGCGATAAGCCACTTTGTTGAGCTATCATTTGTGGCCAGGTCTGCTTGTGAAAAACAGCTGTATAGCTAAGTGGGCCTTACTTGGTGAAGTAAAAATAGTTTAATTAATAGTTTTACCGTGATGTTGACGCATGACCTTGCCATGTAGAACTTGACCACGGACACGCTTGATTATTTAACTTTTTTCTTTGCTGTCGTGATCATGTTTCTGTTACCAGGTCCCCATCGCAAATGAGCATGTATTGCCCAATGGCTTTTACCCTTGTCAGAACAAACCTGAACCTAAACTCATACACAGCACACATGCCGATGATGATGAGTATGATGACGGTAACGACGGCAATGATGACGACGATCCTGATGGTGATGCTAAAGAAGCTTCATTATGATGCGTATGATGATAGTCGTGATGAAAATGATGCTGATGGCTATGCCAAAGATCCTAATGATATTGCTCATCGCGATGTCAATGATGATGATGTTAATGATACTGATGATGTTGGTGATGATGGTGAACATAATACTATTTGGTTCTTTCGGTAAAGTCACGTAGGTAGAAAAATTAAAGAGTATGGATTCCTGCAGTCACAAAAGCTTCAAATCAAGATTGGTGAACATAATAGTCATTACTGTACCTATAATAACGCTGATAAAGATTCTCAGGATGATAATGAACGATACTTACGATGCATAAGATGCTAATTGACGATGCTAGAGAAGGCAGTGATAATGCTGATCTTGATAGAAAAATATTCCGACGAAGACGTTCACGATGCTAATGTTAAAGATGCTGATGATGTTGATGATGATGGTGGGTCTCCGAACCTGACCCAAATCCCTTGCCCCTTCTCTCCCTGTCTGCGATGCCGCAGCCCTGACAGCCCGGTGCCAGGCTAGGTGGCGCGGTGGCACGCGGAAGGGATGAGGGTTGACGGGGCTGCGAGGCTCGACGAGTCTGGACATCGTGGAGCCTCGTGGCTCCGAGCTGAGCAGAGCCACAAACTCCACGCCGGGTTTTCAGGTCTTAGTTGACACGTGCGGTTGGACTCATTGATGACTGCAGTGCAGCGACAGTGATGATGATGATGATGAAGAAAAACCAGTGCTATGCACCACCAGACGAGTCCCTCTGGGAAGAAGAACCAGTGCTATGCACCTACCAGACCAGTTCTCACGGGAAAGCTACGTGAGCTGCGTGAGCTCTTGCCACCTTTAAGCTAAAACAAAAAAAATTCCAACACGTGTCTTGGAAAGAAGAAGAGAGTATCTCACAAGGCCGGAGGAGGGGAGAACTACTTGTAAATGCATCGTCTTGAGTGCTGTGGTGGTGATGTTGTTGTTATTGTTGATGTTATGATGTGACTGACAAAAGCCCGAGACTTTAAGTGTCCGGTGAAAACCTACAGATGTCCCAGGAGAGCTGCTAAAACAAGTGGACGAACCTGGAATTGAACGGGACAGGTGGCAAGCCTCGGTGCACGTACCCATCTGGTGGATACAGTGCTGATGATGAACCTACTGCCAGCACATTCCAGTTTCTTAGAGGGTCTCCGTGTGAGTCCGTGGATTTCCGTGAGAACTATGGGTATCTATGTGAGTCTCTGGACCTCTGTGTGAGCCTGTAGGTCACCGGTGCTGATGATAAAGCCACTCACAGCACATTCCAGTTTCTAAGTGGGTCTCCATGTGAATCTCTGGGTCTCTGCGTGAATCTCTGGGTCTCTATGCGAGTATAGGTTTCCATGTTAGTCTATGGGTATCTATGTGAATCGTAACGATTTCCTGTGTAAGCCTAGAGGTCTGTACTGCTGCTGCTGATGATGATGAAGCCACCGCCAGAGTATTTTAACGTCTCAATTAATCCACCTGCACGCGTTGTCATTGAGAGACTGGAAAACCCGGACTGGAGTTTTGTATCCTCCTCAACCTGGAGCCACGACCTGGCACTGGTGTTACAGTGGTGTGTGAGTGGGGGGCAGTGTGGATTTGACTGTGTGAGTGCGAGGAGTGTGTGTCGGTGTGCTGAGCTATGGTGTAGCGGTCAGCACTGCGCTACGAACCCAGCGACCCGAGTTCAATTCCTGCTCCTGGCCAACACCAGTGACGGTCATTTGAACCTGTCCTGGGCTTCCTCGAGGTTTACTCAGCCTCAAATGAGTACCTGGTGCCGTGTGTGTAAATATCATCATTTGGAAGACAAAAGTGGCCGGGCGCAGTGTTGGTCACCCACCCTTCCCTCGTGTGCCATAGGTGCTCACCAACAGCACTTGCCCCAACAGTCTGTTAAGGCTACATGGAGGGGGGAATATTTGTCTTGAGTAAATGTGCATGATAATTACAGTCGATTGTGAAAACGTCCAAAGGGGATTATTGAAAAGGATAGTTGACCAAGGAAGAGAGTGCATGGTGCTCCAACATAATTTGACGTATGCTTATTATTTTATAGAAGTGGGGGTGGGAGGGGTTTACTAAATGTCACAGCAATCGATTTCCATTCGTTTTTATAGGTAAAAAAAAACAAAAAAAATCTCACTCGCGAGTAAACAGTGGAGAAATCCTCAACTCGCCCAGACAATAAAATGTGGAGGAGAAAACAAAGTGGTGAACAAAAAATCCACCTATATCATCGACAACAATATTCACCGAGACTTTTTGACAAAAAATCCACCAAGATCATCGACAAAAATTTTGACCAAAATCTATCGACGAAAAAATTTACCGAGATCTATCGAAAAAAAATTCACAGAGATCATCGACAAAAAATCCACCGAGATAATCGACAAAAAAATCACCAAGATCTATCGATAAAAAAAATCCACCAAGATCATCGACAAAATTTTCACCAATATATATCGACAAAAAATTAACCGAGATCTATCGATAAAAAAAATTAACCGAGATCATCGACAAAAAATCCACCGAGAAAATCGACAAAAAAATCACCGAGATCTATCGACAAAAAAATTCACCGACATCTATTGGCAAAAAAAATCACCGACATCTATTGGCAAAAAAAAATCCACCAAATCACCAGCGTAGTGAATGAGTCGTGCGCGGGCAAAGCGAACTTCTGGCGACGGTAAAGCGTCTTTTACGATCCTGTGAGCTCCGAGTGGGTCGAGAGGAGTGAGACAACGAGTTATTGCAGGTGCTTGTGACTAGGGCCGTGGGACATCGATGATGCTGCTCATGATAATGCTGATGGTGGTGGTGGGCCAAGTGCAGTGGACTTCAACAGGGGACTTACGCACAGACACAGGACGATTTCGTTACGGCCGCCCACTGCTTCTCTATGTCAATACACGGGACTTGGTCCATTAGCGGACCTCCTGTACAATACGTACGATGAACACCCTGGTAAGACTTGCAATGACTCCTATTAATTTCTCAACAATGTTGTGTTATATTCTTGGTTCTTTCGGTAAAGTCACGTAGAAGGGAAACAATTAAATAATAAAAAAATTAAACAATAAAATGCTCACGACGTTTCGACTGCAACACAAGCAATCGTCATCAGGTGTGAAATCCACAGCAATAATTTATTTTTCAATTAAAAAGTAATTTTTTTTTCTGTGGATTTCACACCTGATGATAATTCCTTGTATTGCAGTCGAAACGTCGTGATAATTTTATTGTTTTATATTTTTATTATTTTATTATTTCCCTTCTACGTGACTTTACCGAAAGAACCAAGATTATGAATCCCTGTAGTCACGAAAGCTTTAAATCAAAATGTTGTGTTATTTACCCGACACCAACACTACTGCGCACATTAATGTGTGCCAATGTCGTGACCTCCATCCCCGCTGTTGTCTGCACGTTGGGACCATGGCGGGGTTTCGTCTTCGCCGTATAAACAAAACAAAAAAGGATTCATCAGCATCTCTCGCTGCCGTTGAGTGAACAGTGACCCTCTGACAGGACAGAGGCGACGTTCTTTAATCGTCGCCCCACTTGGGCCGCCCTTCAAGTGGCCGGGCGGATGACAACTCCGAAGGCTTCTGTTGATGCCGACTGTGCCACATCTGGGCTGCGTTTCATTGGTTGCGGCGGCACACGGACCACCGAAGAAACGATGCGGCGGTTAGTGACGTCGAGCTATCAACCTGGCGGCCCGAGTTCGACGATTCCCGCTCAAGGCCAACACCGGTGACGATTTAGCTGAACCCGTCTCGGGCACTTTCCTCGGTCGACTCAGCCTCCAATGAGCACCCGGGTTGGTGTGTAAACATTCAGCACTGGGGGAGACAAAGGCGGCCAGGCGTGGTTGTTCGCCGCCCATCGCCTGCGTGCGCCGTGCCGGCCTTCATCGGTGTTCAGTTTTCAGTTTCATTTATTTGGTGTAGCCCTGTGAGCCATTCGACTCTTGAATCGGGTGTAACCGCAGCAAACAAAAAAGCAAAAACATGAACAAGAAAACATATTAAAGTGACTATGTGCAAACAGAAAATCCAAGAAAAGACAGCAACATATTGCAGAAAAAGCACCGTACACCAAGGTTGTGTGCAAAAATCCCAGTGGGATGCAAGTCAAACAACAACAACAACAACCACAAGACAACTTAGATTAAGGCCGTCAGTCTAACTCCGTACTACAACAAACAAACATGGCCAACAGCATTTGTCCCCAACAGTCCGTTAAGGCTATGGGCGGGGAATCTTTGACGCAAGTCCACCAAAAGAACTGTGAAGTGGAGCCTGCGATGTTCTCATGGCTGTGCGGCCCATCGGACGATGTTGCTGTGGGTCTCGTGCGTTGTCACGGTGGAGTTGGAGCTTGTTCGGCCATCTGACAAAAACAAAATTTCATCGACATTGAGGGGGGTGGTCAAACTCTGGAGGGTGGTGGTGGCAGGGGCGTTATTCTGAACGAACGAAAGAAGAATTTAAACAAAAAACGTGTCCCGGAAAATACGACGTCATAGGAGAGCGAGAAACAGAGCGGGACATGTAAGTAAGTCACGAAGGGAAGAGCAGTGGACGCTGGGAAATCGCCGCGCCTTGAAATCCGTGGAGTACTTGAACTATTGGAGCACGTGGCCGTGGTGGCAGCAACGTTGTTGACTGTGGCAATAAAGTTCTGTACATGTGCCGGATTATACAACGCGCCCCTTAAATGTGTTTTTATTACATAGGGGGGAGGGTGCGGGGGAGATGGGGGCGGGGTATAAGTGCGTCTTTAAATCCGTAAAAAAACGATCATTTGTTCTCGCGATTGTCTGTAACGTGAAAGTGTACGCGTGCGTTCTCCGACGAAACCACGACCCCCTTGAGATGAGAGCCCTGCATTAATAAATAAACGCAAGAAACTTGAAACGCGTGTTGGTCACTGGAGGTTGTTTTGACCATACTTCCCTGCGCCGGACAGCGTAGCGTGGATTGGTAAAGCGAAACCCCCGATGCGAACATCATCACTCACTGTGATCGCAACTGTTTACTTGTTTGATTTATTTCGTTGGGTTTTTCACACAGCTCCAATGAACTCGGCAACGAGCAAAAAAATGCATCGCCTTGTGTCAGAGAAAAGGCTCCAGCAGATAATGTCACAGAACTAGTAGAGGATCCAGCGGTGGCGAGATGTCATTTCCCTCGCCTGGTATACAGGAGATCGTGGGTTCGATCCCGATCCAGACCCTGACGCCTGCTCTCTAGATTTCGATTTAAAGCTTTTGTGACTGCAGGGATTCATCTTCTTGGTTCTTTCGGTAAAGTCACGTAGAATGGAAATAATAAATTAATAAAAATAAAACATAATAAAATAATTCTCACGACGTTTCGGCCACAACGCAAGCAGCCGTCTTATCGACAGACCTGTTTTGCACCTGAGGACGGCTGCTTGCGTTGTGGCCGAAACGTCGTGAGAATTATTTTATTATGTTTTATTTGGATTATTTTATTATTTCCATTCTACGTGACTTTACCGAAAGAACCAAGAAGCCTGCTCTCTATTTGTGTCTTTGTTTATCGGGGGAACTGACCAATGGGAGAATGAGGCGCGAGCGCGAGCAGTAGGAGACGCGCTTCCCCGGCTAGTCCACACAGCTCGAGGCCATTCAGCCCATTCCATCTCATGCCGTGCCCGTTTTCAGCTTCCTCTCTGCGGCCACACAGAAGCTGGTGCCACTGGGCTGGCGGTGGCTGGGCATTGCGGTCTGCGGGACGCAGCCAACGCAGCAGCAGCAGCATCCTCGTCTGTCGGGGGAGCTCACTGATGACGCTCTGTAACACAATTTGTATTCCTGGCTAGTAAATGTTATTTCCTCATTGCTGATGCCTCAAAAGTACAGAAAATGGCTTTTATTCCGCACAAACTTTGCTTTTGTGCCCAGGACAGTGATATTTTGAAATTTACATATTTTCGTTCACATAAAGTCAGAAAAAACCCAACATATTAATCAAAATTAACATGTATTTATACTAAAGTAATACAAAATTACTACAAAAGATTTAGAAATGAGTAGTTTTTTTAGGATGTTCCTCCCCACAGAGAACTCGGCCCGCTGTGGCCAGTCTCGCCTTGTGGTAGTGCGCCTTTGTATCTAAATCTTTTGTAGTAATTCTTGTATTACTTTAGTATAAATACATGTAAATTTTTATTTATTAATTTGTTGTTTTTTACTGACTTTATGTGAACGAAAAGACACAAATTCGCCCGTTTTCTCATTGAAAATTGGTCAATTTCAAAATATCACTTTAGGGGCTGTAACCCAGGGGCCTCTGCCAGCTAGAGGGCCTCCAGAGATGAAGTTTAAAAGTTATTTAACTTGTGAATGCTGAATTTTATTTATTGTTAGCCTTGCAAGAATACATTTCATTTTTCTTTAACTTTGTTTTCCTTTTGAAAATATTACTGGGGCCACTCACAGGACCTGTAGCCCAGGGGCCTACACAATCTTAATCCGGCCCTGAGTGAGACCATCAGAAGATCAACAGGCCAAATGCGCACATCTTCTTCATACATGAGACATTGAAGACACAAGCATCTGCCGTTCGACTCTGCCCATGCAACCCAAACTACGGGACCTTGCAGTGCATCCACTGGAGCAGCGGTCGGGAACCTATGGCTCGCGAGCCATATATGGCTCTTCCGGTGACGGCATATGGCTCCCAGGCAATTTTTGAGTTGAAAAAATAAAAAAAATCAGTTTGGAACTGATTTTAAAATACTTGTGATATTGCTTAATAATACTGTGTCATTTGAAAGTAAACAGAAATTAGTTTTGAAGATAAATTTCACGGGTCACGCCTGCACGAAGCTCAACCTCGCCACGTTTTGAACCAGACTACAGCAAAACCACGCAGCACCAGAAGTCGCATTAAAAGTAAGACGTATTTAATTTATTATACGTTAAAAATACTATATGGCTCTCAATTAAATATACTTAGAAATATTTGGCTTTTATGGCTCTCCCAGTCAAAAAAGGTTCCCGACCCCTGCCCTGGAGTCTGCTCTCCTTCAACGGATTAGGAGGAACGGCAACACGGCACGAACTCTCTCTCTCTTTCTGTGTCTCTGCTGAAGCTCTCTCGTGGTGCTCAGCAGTCCTCGACGTTGGCATCGAGCTCGTGAACATAGTTGCCATAATTCTAGATTTGAAGCTTTCGTGACTGCAATGATTCATATTCTTAGGTTTTTTCGGTAAAGTCAAAAAGTAAAATAAAATTAAAATCACGACGTTTCGGAGGCAACACAAGCATCCGTCTTCAGGTGGTACCGTCACAGCCACGACAGCTGTATCAAGTAAATGAGAGATTGCAGAAGCTACCACTCCGTTTATATAATGGTTGGAGAAGGTGGTGGGGCAAGGGCCGCATACTTTTATTAATTATTAATATTAATAATATAAACTGAGTGGTAGCTTCTGCAATCTCTCATTTACTTGATACAGCTGTCGTGGCTGTGACGGTACCACATGAAGACGGAAGCTTGTGTTGCCTCCGAAACGTCGTGATTTTTATTTTATTTTACTTTTTGATGTTTTTTTACCTACGTGACTTCACCGAAAAAACCTAAGAATAGTTGCCATATGCAATACCATAATCAGACCATCGACTTCATAAACATTATTTTTGTTGCAAATCTTGACTTCAAGCTTTCGTGACTGCAGGAATTCATATTGTATTTTATTGTCATTTTTTTGTTATTTTCTTTGAACCTCTCTACGTGACCTTACCGAAAGACCCAAGAATATTTACGTAGCAAGTTAACAACACATGTCTTTATTACTGCTTTTTGTGTGTGTTGGCTACGTACGGTGCGAAACAAGTTTAACGCACATCCAAACAAAAACTTGAAAATGTGGCCCGAACCTGGATTCAAACCCAGGCTCTCAGCCCAGTCGGGCCCGGTGCTCCATCTAACACGGCATTTAGCCCCGCG